TTTTTTTTTTTTTTTTTTTAATTGCAGAATCATTTAGAAATTGTTAGATTATGAAGGAAAGAAATTTCGAAGAATTTCTATTTTTCACGTAGTTTTACTAGTTTTCCCCTGAGAACCGTGAGAGAGATCCTCCATCAGCCTAACGATAACGGGAGGATCAATTGAAGGCGTCTTAACGCTTGGACCCCATTTTTTGAGACTTGTTAGAAAAGTGGAAAAACGAAAGATTCCATTAAAGACACTGTTTCTCCCTGCAATGGATTGCCTTCGAGTAAGCCATCGGTTGATTTCGCGCTAATTTAGAAAAACGAGATCTGCCTACAATAAAAAAGAAAAATTGAAAAATCGTGCAACGTAGAATCGAAATACATCGCGAAGGCAAGTTCGAAAAGGGAAAAGTCGCCTGTGGAACGAACCTTTCACAGTCGTTCTCGCGTTTCAAGATTCACCCTCTATCCCTCCCCCCTCTCAAAAAAAAAAAGAAATATTTATTTTCAACCCTTTGAGAAGAAAAAAAAGTATATGTATGTATACACGCTCGAAAAAAAAAAAAAGCGAGTTTTCTTTTAAAACGTAGCGTTTTATTAACGGGGAAGTCCACTGTAAGTACTCTGCATACTCGCCAGACCGGAAGTACGGGCTAAAGACACAAAGAACACAAGAAGACTGTCCAAAGGGGATTGCGATCTATCTCGTGCCTTCATCCCCTTTGAAACCTTTCGTCTCGAAACTCTCCCCCCCTTGCCCCTAGTTAACATATCTAACTTTCTCTCTCCCCAACACGTGTATACATCGTCTCTCTCTTTCTCTCTCTATACATATATATATATATCTGTTTATTCCGCCCACCAATCCCAAATGGAAATTGCCACCAGATAATAATAATAATAGTAATAATAATAATAATGAGAGAAATAAAAAAAGAAAAATCTCTTCAGTGTCTTTCGCGCTTCAGTTCGTTGTCCGCTTGGTTTCTTCTTTTTTTCTTTTTTTCTTTTTTTTTGTCCTGACGAGTTCACTAATATAACAATAATAATAATAATAATAATAATAATAATAATAATGCTAAGAATCGCGCGCGCCTCGAGGATTCCGGTAGCGGGCGAGATAAATAAGGGGAAAGAGGGGCTTTCCGCCCCTCCCCCTTCCGTTCACCGCCACCGTTTCGCCGCTACCGATCGAACGAGAATGATCGTTGAGGCGAGCTCGGTGTCCACGATTCACGTGTTTGAGTCTCCCGCCACTTTTCCCAATCTCGCGCCACACGAAAAGAATCGATCTCGACGAGATTTTCCGTATATATTATATCGTTGCACGCTCGATATTTATATATTTTTGACGTTTTTATATAAACACGTTCGTTGCGGGGGAATTCTCGGCGGTTTCGGCGGACATATCGACATGTTATACGCGTTACACGTTTCACCGCATTGAACGTGCCATAATCCTCGCCCCTCCCTCCCCTCGCCTCGAGAAATTTATTTGGTTCGAGGGATATATTCTATTTTTCTATCTCGCTCGAAGACGCTTTCTTTCTCTAGAAACGAAGGATAAGAGAATTGGGCATCGACCTCTTCCTCCTCCCTCCTCCCTCCTCGGTTGAAGTTAAAAATCTCGAATAAAGTTACTTCAACAAGCGTGTCGCTTGTTGAAACGCTTTTAATGAAAATTAACATTTACTCTCGTGGTTACTCGTTACAATTATATTCCGCTTCTCTTCGCCACAAAACCATTCACGCGGTGATTATTATTTCCAATTTATTATTATTATTATTATCGAGGTAACTTTATTCTTCAACTTCGACTATTTGTTAAATTTTACCCGCCACTTCTCACAACGTTCCGTCGTTTCGACTCCTTCGAAATCCCTTTAACTCCGGAGACAGAAAATAAAAAAGAAAAAAAATCGGTCGACGCTAGTGGTAAGCTCGTGATCCTTGTCACAGTCCCCTCCTTCCCCCCCAGTCTCCATTCTGGAAGTGTTCTTCCATGCGCCTTTTAACGCGCCACTACCACCACCACCACCACCACCATCACCGCCATCCTCGTTGCCACCGAGCTCGAGAGTGCATCGTCGGCGATTTGGCGCCTCGAATGTGTGTCCAGTGTGCGATAGACCCAAACCGAGCTCAGCCATCGGGCATCATGTAAGTAGATCGATCACCGGGGATTGTTGGATCTCGATCTCCCCCTTCTCCCCCTCTCCCTCTCCCTCTCTCTTCTCTCTCGCCAACTCCCTGAATCGAATCGAGAAGAGAGAGAGAGAGAGAGAGAGAGGTGGCTAACCCACCTTTTCGATGCGATGCGAAAATTGATGGGATAATATCTCGCGGATAGTAGTAGTAATAGGTGGTAATCCGAAATGGTTTCTGGTTCTTTTCTTTTCTTTTCGGCGATTCGTGGGAAAATTATTTTTGAAAGGATTGGAAGGATGGGGGAGGATGGAAAAAAAGCGTGAAGAACAGAGTAATTGTAAAATTGTCTTTTTTTTTTTCATTTATTTGATTAATGAAACGATATATTTACATATTGTCTGTAGGAAAATAATGTAATCGTAGCTTCTAAATTCGAAATTATTTCGAAATAACGTTTTTATTTATTTTCTTATGTAAAATCAACGAATTCAATTACGTACTTTACCATTAAAATTAATAAAACGAGACGCTGAAGAAAGTGGGTTAGTTCAGAACTCGTAGGAATTTTACAGGAAAGAAAAAAAAACGTTTAAAAGATAATTTTAGGAAAGAAGGGGAGGGGGAGGATGGAGATGGAGAGATCCATCCGGACAAGGAGAAGAAAGTTCTCGAACGATCCACGGGATCTATGATCGATGGCAAAGCAGCCTTTTCGATCCATCCGCGTGTCTAATGGTCGCGTGAAAAATGACGCGTGATGATCTCTGTTTCAGTCTGAGCCCGAGCGTAGAGAGAAGCTCGCTAAACTCGACTAAAAGGTACTTTGTGACTGGTTATTGACTGTTCTACATACATATATATATATATACACACACACCTATATATCTATCTCTCTCTATATTATATATTACATATTTGTTACGTATATACATATTATATACACGTACGTGTAATCGATGTACATACGTGTATGCGTGTACACATACTGTACGGCAGATGTAGCGTGTGCACGTCGAATCGATTCGAACGAGACGAGAAGTCTTTTCGAGATTTCGAAAATTTATTCGAGAGAAAAAAAAGAAGGATTGCAAACGATAAAGGGAGAAAATTTTTTCCAATCTTTTTTATACCTCTCGGAGAACAGAGAAGTTCGATCTTCGGCTTTTAAGTCGTCCCATTCGTAGGTCAGTCCACGCGCGCAGGTTGAACGAGCACGCTCGTCTCCAGGTGCACACGTGAGGAACGAAATAAACGGAATGGAATCGTGGACTGGCACACGATTCTTCTCGCACACGCGCATCCGCCAATGAAGGGACTTCCGCGTGTCCGTGTACGCGTGTATGTATGCACATGCTCACGATGTCGTATATATATACGCTCGAATATTTTTCTATATTGCTGTCACGTTTGTCATTTTTCCTTTCCAATGGTTGTTTCTTTCTTTCTTTCTTCTTTTTTTTCTTTTCCACTATATATACACACACACATACACACGTATACACAACCACTTACACACAACCACATACATATACACGTATACACAACCACTCACACTTTCTTATCTCTGCGTGTCTCTCCTTTTCGTTTCTCTTTCTTTATCTATTTATCTCTCTATGTCTCTCTCTCTCTCTCTTTTTCTTGATTTCTGCGATTTTTCTTCTCTCTTCTGTCACGAGTATTATGTACGTATACACGAATGGACACAAAAAGTATACACGAAATACATTTCTATATTCTCTCTCTACATGGACGTTCGATCACATAGGCCCTGTAGATTGTAATTTTTTGTGCTCTCTGTTTATCGTCTCTCTCCTTATACTGTCTCTCTTTTGTGTATATTGCGTATATTGTGCGACACTCGACGATCCGCGTCCTTCGTCGAACTGCTTCATCGATCCATCCTTCTTCTCCCGTGTGCGCGAAAATTGCAAGAGTTTTTTTCGTAAGGGAGGAAGAGGGATGGAGTGGAGTGTAGTTTCGATAAGCGAGAATTGTGTTCGGAATCGAAGGGGAATCGCGCATGAGTTGGAAAGTTTTGAAAGAGTTATTTTTAGGAATCTAAGGAGGATCGGAGGATATTACGAGAACTTCCAATTCTTCGATTTTTCCTTGATTTCCAACTTCCAACAGTTGTCGGAAGTTTTAGAGAATTTTTCTTTTCTTTTTTTTTTTTTTTTTTTAAATATTTAAAGTTTTGAAACGGAATATGAGGATTCAAATATTTTCGTAAATTTTCGAATTCCAAATTTATGATTCCAAATTTTTGAATCTCTAAATTTCTTGGAGAAATTTGAAGTTCGAATTTTATAATTTTAATTTTGTCCTACAATATCCAAAATTTTCAAATTTAAAAACTTCTATATTTTATAATCCTGGAATATCAAAAATTCTCAATTTCCAAATTTTCAAACGATCAAATCCTTCCAAACACGCCCAAAGAAAACCATTCAAATTTTATAATCGAAATCCTCGAAAAAAATTTTCGATTAATCGAACTTACAAATCCTGTAAAAAAAAAAAAAATTCAAAGATTCAGAATTATTGAGATATTCCGAAGAATCTTTCTCGTAATCCTTCAAATAGACGATGTATTGTCTCTTCGATCCTCCAAGATCTCACCGAGGCTTAAATCCTTAACACCATCAAGCGACTCAACTCGAGGACCTCCCCTTCTCCCGAATGCCATCGAAATCCGCGAGTCTCCTTCGCAAAGTTTCCGGCCGAATATGCATTGGTCGCTAGGGAAGGGCGCGAATCGTCGACGCAGCTCGAAATTGCACAATCACGCCCTCTTCCTCAACCTCTATCTTCCACAGTACCACTATATACACGTATATCTTTATTATATATATATATATCTATCTATATATATATATACACACATATATATCTTAAGTGTATTTGGTGTCTCTGCAAGCGTCACTCACACGTACACATGCACACGTACACCTTGTCGTCGACCATCCATTGCTCACAAACACGTACACGTACACATGCTCGATTTGGAGGGTGTCTTCGATGCGGCAGGAGACAAATTTGCCCGGCACACACTTCCTCCGAACCCTCGTCCGCGAGTTATTGCAAATTGAAGACCGGCCTCGAGCCCCTTTTCGAGGACCGTCGGCCATTTTAACCCTCTACAACTCTGGAATTTCCGTTCCTTTGAAAAATATTTGAAAAAATATTTGCCGTATAAGTTGGATTGCGGATAATAATTTGTTTCGTGTTCTTCTTTTTTTTTTTACCGATCGAGTAAAATTAATTGTACGTATTATTTGTGATTAAAAAAATCACAACACAGACACGGATGTTCCAATTACACAGAATTTGATTTCTCTAAAACTGAATTTGCAAAAACAATTACTATTGATCCCTGATTTCGAAAAATTACAAAAGTGCAAAAACTTCGGATTCATAGAGCGAAGCGTTTATTACAGAGGAGTCACGGAATAAAAGTTAAAGTTTCGGTGGAGGAGAGGGGGAGTCGTGAAATTTGCTATCCTGCAGAATCGAAGATATCGACGAGAGGAAGAAGGACAAGGAGGAATGAAAGAAAGGAAGAGGAAATGGAAAGATAAAGGGAGGAGACTCGTGGAGGGAAACGGAGAGAAAAAACGGAGGAGATATTCATTCCTCGCGGCATGCAGCGTCGTCTCGTGCAAGCCTCTCGAATACCTTCGCTATCGATCTCCTCGCGATGTTCGGTTCTTCTCTCTCTCCTCAGACCACTGCCCTCCCTCTTATATACGTTATGTTCCCCCCTTAATTCAATAGATCTATTCCCAATCGCGCTAAGTGCAGTGCTTAATTTTCTGGAATCTCTCTTTCTCTGTCTCTCTCTCTTTCTCTCTGTCGAACCACTTTTTTTTACGATTTATCATCTTTTCCGTACGGTTTACAAGTAAAACGTTCTTCCTTGATTGGAAGAGATGGAAAAATATCGGAATTAAGCTCTGCACTTCGCTGTTTTATCGATCGAATCCGATGTACCGACGAAATGCTACTATGTTTCGTCTCTTTCCTCTCTTCTTTCTTTGATTTTTCATTTTCATCTTTCTTCTTAGGTGCTCTTTCGAATTGGGTCCACGATGGCTGGATCTCGAAAATGATCTCGAAAAGTAGATTCCGCGATTAAATAAATATTTCTCGATAATAACTTTTGACAGTTTTATTTTCAGTGACCAACCGATGATAAAGTTACTATTTTTATTACCAAAAATTAATATTTGCGAGAAAACATTCTTCAAAATTTTTATTCTCAAAATGCATTCGTAATTTAATCTTTTTTTCTTTCAACCAATTAAAATTACCCGTTTGAAAAAGAGATGAGAAACGAAGCCAGCCATCGAATCGAAATGATTAAGAGCTCTTTAGTCCTGACGCTGTTGTTATGGTAGTTGCACCGTGTTGACTCCATCATTGGTTATTGATTGATACGATTACCACGTGTTCACATGGAAAATGCTTGCGATGTTCATCGAGCGTG